TACAGAAGAGTGTGACAGTCGGTAGGAAATGTGTTAAAAATATAATAATTTTTTTAAATTGGTATGAATAAATAAATACTTTATTGTCTTGACAATATAATTGTATTGACAGTACAACTAATTAATTTTTAGCTTAGGTTTAGTATTAAATTACACTCTAGCATTTCATTTAAAAATTTTAATGCATTTTTCATTATATTGTGAAAATTTTATACCTGTAAAGTACAATTTAAAAGTGAACAAATCAAACAAAATTTTGAATATATTGTGTTTATTAAATTGCAGTGAACATACAGCTCTCAATATACAAAGTCCTCCATTTAAAAGCTAGTTAAATTTGATTTTTCTTAATTTTTTTGGCAGCACACATCTTTATTATGTAAAAAACACACATTTTGATGCTTTTTCATGTTTATTGACACTTATTTATTGAGACAATACTTGCTAATAATTAATAATTGCTGAGGCTTTGATCGTCTTGACTGGTGATCAGTGGCAGTTACAGCCAGGGGGCTTGTCAATAGAATTGCATGCAATTACAACAAAATTGTGAACATCTCCCGCTATCACGAGGACGTGATTAATGTCACCCGCGATTACAACAAAATCTTCAACGTATCACGCCATCACGGGGACATCATTATCGTTACCTGCGAGTGTGACTAATCATTATTTTTAGAAAACAATTTGTTGTTTTAAAAAAAGTTGTTTTTCCACTAAATGCTGCGCCCCCCTTTCAATGAGGCCCTAGGCTGCGGCCTAATGAAACTGGTCTTAATCTTGTGATCGTGACAAAATCCTGAACATTCCCACGAACACCAAGACATTATAAGCTCCCCAGGTAGCGGCAAAATCTTGAACATTGCTACGAACACTACAACTCGTTGTCGTCCCCTGCGACCACAACAAAATCATTTCATGAGGGTGGTAAAAAAAAAGAAAAAACAGTAAACGAAAACCCAACTTTAAAAATATGGCTTATTTGAACCCTTTTAAAGTTCACTACAGTTTTTTAGAAACGTCTACCGGTACAATTTCAGATAGAAGTTAGAACAATTTAAGAAAAATATAAGAAAAAGAGCGGACAGGGAATCAGGAATAGGATGGCGCGGGCGGCTCTTCATTCTACACACCCCACACGTCTGTAAAAACAAGATATTACATTGACCTTAAGCAGTCATGTCTGCCGCTTCCATCCCTGCACCTCACCACCGCGATCATATGAATATATTCTTAAGAGCCCTTTTCAAAGGTATTGGCTAGACCACTTAAGTATGCAGAGCTTAAAAAACCAAATAATTTAGTATATCAAAGTGTTCTGTACGGTTATTGGTTACGGAGAAAATTCAAAAATTGTAAATTTAAAATTCCCATGTTATTCTTATATGGAGAATAAGGTAGTTTGCTTGTTTATGGATATAATATTTTGATCAAACTAGGCAAATTTATTTATTAGTGAATTTCCCTATAGGGAAGAAGGTATTACCGTAGGTCTCATGGTAAGACTTGGGCCCGGGACCGATTTACTATTTCATTTACATGTCCCCAGAGGCCCAAAACACTATTTGTTCAAAATTGTATATATGTATCTTTATTTATAAAAGAGGAAGTTTGTATATTATATTTGAACGTTATGGACTACGAAACCGCTCGACAAATTGTAATGAAACTTTCAGGCATTATTAAGCATTATTCAAAGGTGGTTTGAGTGAAGTATGGTGCAGATCCGTCAAAAGGCCTCCTACCCAGTGGCTCTGGAGTTTTCCATGTTAAACTTATGAGTACTTAAATTTAAATGGAATTAAAGAATCCTAACAGCTGGTTCAACTAAACAGTTTGATTCTGTGATGTTCAATAGCATTAAAAAGATAATAGGTTTATCAACAGGGTGCAGCACTATTATTTTCTTTTTAATTTATGACAACAGATAATTTTAAACCAAAAGGTGAGTGAGCGTAGCGAACGAACTTCAACCTGGAGGCGAGTTAGTGTAGCGAACGAGCTAAACCTGAAGGCAAGTGAGCGCAGCGAACGAGCCCCAGCCTATAGCAAACGAACATCAACCAGGACGTTATTGAGCGATGCGTCGAGCTCATCTTGAAAATGAACGAGCATTTGACATAAAACCACATAAGGACAGGACGACACGTCTGCCGGGCCAGCTAGTAAACCTATATAAAATATATATTTTTTTTTTTTTTTTAGGGAGAGGAGGGAAAATGCTTTTACGCACACAGGTAGCCAGCCTGTAGTGTGAGACTCCTGAAAATTGTCAGACTACTCACTAAAAAACCCCCTCTACTCTGTTGGACACAGACCTGGAATTGTTTGTCACATTACTTCAAGTCAGGCCAACATGTGACCTAAGCCCTCAGGGCTCGCACCGTTTCTGGCATTTCGATTCTTAATGACCTACAACCGCATCCCGGTCAAGGTCGATCTTCTTGGCGCGGAGAATACCCTGGATATAAAGTGACACACAGGTCCAATTGTCCTCACCCTCCGTCATAATCGGTATGACCGTGTCCACCGACAGCAGTCCTATTAATTGTTAAGCCTCCAGGCGGGGCCTTTCCCAGCGCTGGCAGTGGAAAAATGTATGTTCCACGTCATCGAGAATGCCTGGGCAGTATATGCAGTCGGGTGACACGGCTTTGCCCATCCTGAACAGGTACGACCGGAAAAAGCCGTGTCCCGTCAGAAATTGGGTGAGGTAGAAGTCCACCTCTCCGTACCGCCGATCAACCCAAGGTTGGACTTGCTGTATCAGTCGCCTGGTCCAGAGTCCCCGTCTCTCCTGTTCCCAGCCCTCCTGCCACAGCTGGTAGGTGCGGGTGCGTTCCTCTGTTCGTGCCTCGTCCTCCCCACGGCGCTGGTAAATTGCCTTTCTCTCCGCCGCCAAAAGTTTGACGGGGATGACTCCAGCAATCACCAGGACGGCGGGCTCGGACACTGTTCGGTAGGCAGATGCTACCCTCAGTGCTGCCTGACGCTGCACTCGGGCGAGCCGCATCCTGTATGCCTCCTTATTTAGTGCGTCTGCCCACACCTCCGCACCGTACAAGAGTACGGACTGGACCGAAGACATTAACAGCCTTCTACGACTGGACCGAGGCCCTCCGACATTGGCCATCAACCGGCTAAGAGAAGAAACCGCCCTAGCGGCCTTGTCCGCTGTACGAAAGATCTGATCCCGCCAGCTAAGCTTGCTGTCTACCATGACCCCAAGATACTTGGCAGAACGAACAGTTTGAACCTCGACGGCTCCCACCCTCAACGGCACAACGGATGGTATCAATCCGTTTTTTTGTCAAAATCACGATCTCGGTTTTGCTCAGAGCAAGCGAGAGACCGTGGTCTGCCATCCATGCGTTTATGGTACGCATAACTCGGTTTAGCTTTAGCTGAGCCAGCTCAACGCTACGTGCAGCTATCAAAGCTGCAACGTCGTCTGCGTACCCAACCAAGACCGTTTCCTCAGGCATTTCAGACCTCAGAAGGCTGTCATAAGCGACGTTCCAGAGGTCTGGGCCGAGTATGGAACCTTGGGCAGCACCAGAAGTGACACTCATCGTCCGCAGTGTCATACGTTAGGAGGCGAAACCGGAGATAATCCTCTATGATGCGCATGAGGTATGCCGGCACGTGGAAGGTGTTCTCCAGAGCATCCAGCATATCGCACCACCTCGCCGAATTAAATGCATTTCGCACATCAAGCGTTACGAGCTACACAACCCTGCGAGAGTAGTGGGTAAAATCCTCAGCTCTCATCACGGCTTGCTTCACCTCCTCAATCGCATCAATCGTTGATCGCCCCATCCTGAATCCATACTGACGAGGGGAGAGGTCCCCCGCAGCGACAACGGCTGAATTTAGCCAGGAACGGATCAATTTCTCGAGGACTTTGCCAGCCGTATCCAACATACACAGAGGTCTGTAAGAGGATGGCAGATCTGGGTCTCCCTTGCCCTTCCCAACAAGCACAAGCCTAGCTGTCTTCCAGCACAAGGGGAAAACCCCTTCAACCAGGCAGGCGTTGTACATGCTCAAAAGGATCAAGGGGTTGGTAGTCAAAACCTTCTTGAGGACTTCACCGGGCACCCCATCGGGACCAGGAGCCTTGTTGTTCTTCAGGGATATGACGGCCGCCACCAGCTCTTCAGGGCTGAAAAGTGGGACGTCGTCCACCCTCCCATAATCCCGCAGTGGGCGCAACGCGTGAGCCGGGAAAAGGGACTCGACTATCCTCTCCATAGTGACCCTGTCCATGACGGAAGGTGGAGAGCGGGTTCCAAGTTTCTTGGTTACAAGTTTGTAACCCAGGCCCCACGGGTTGGAATCAACATCGTCCCTTAATTTATCCCAGCAACTGCGTTTACTCCGATTGATGGCTCGACGAAGATACCTCCTAGCCAACCTATAAGCATCCGACTTACGCCGTCTGTCTAGGGGTTCTCTATATATATATATATATATATTCATATATATATTCATATACATATATATATTAGAAAACATTATAAAAACATTAGTACCCCTTCAACTCATTTTAATTATTAACGACTAGTTTCAACACTAAGGTCATAGTCATGTTCGTCATGTCATTGTCACTCGAATGAGCTTGTGAACCAGCATTAGGCTAAGTTGTATAACAGGTGACGAAACATGGGTTTACGAATATGACGTCGAATCTAAGGCTCAATCATCCCAGTGGGTTGTCGTTTTATAGCCGAAGATGACATTAAAACCCCATAGTTGATAGCACTTAAAGTCTATTAAAGATCGAGTCGAAGAATTTTTTCAGGGTTTGGAAGAAGCGCCGGCACAAGTGCACATATATAATGGGAACTATTTTGAAGGCAACGACAACAATGTAAATATTTTGTTCAAAAAATGAAAATCCTTGTTTTTTAACAGACCTCATATATCCGCCACCCAATCACTCCAAATGGTCGCAACCTATAGTTAATAAACTAAAAAAAGTTAAAATTTGAACTTACTGTCTAACTCATCAAGAAGTGTGGCAGTGCCTGGTGGAAACATTGGTCTCTCCATTGTCTGCAACAGAAAAAACTCATTGGCTAATAGTACTAGTGATACACTTAGGCCAGTGACTTACAAGTGATACCCGTAGGCTCCACCCAATTAATAGACATATATACTTTGAATTGTTCATTGCAAAGTAATAACTGAAACATCCTTGGGCCTAATATTTTTTTTTAATTAGGCTAAGTTACATCAGAGAAGTAAAATTCAGAGGATACATTCAATTTTACATTTAAGTGGTGTCTAGAGCAAATTATATTTGTCGTCCCCTTCCGCTCTCCTTTCCTCGAGGTTCATCTTATACCTAGTTTGAATCCTTTATAGCCTATTATCGGATGAATAACGATAAATAATTTAAATATACTTTTTTTCTACAATTCTTTTTTACCCCAATGTAAAACATTGAATTCAGTTATGATTTATTTAGCCTACATTTTTATTGATACTGGTATTTAATCAATAAAACTAGTATCAATATTAACCAAAAACAAAATATCTTTTATGAAAAGTATCAAAACCAACAAGTTAATACAAAAACTAAAAAATCTACAAACCAGGGTATAATTGTAACTGCCTTACATAGGCTACTAGCTGTTGTACCCGTGCTTTGCAACGGGAAAAGGACACAAAAGAAACATTTTAATCTTTACATCTGTTGCATATAATAGTTACACATCTGCCAACCCTTTTAGAAACAAAATTCAACTTTTATAGCCTTAATAGAAACGTTTAAGTTATGACTTTTAAATCTGGTAAGTAGTGGATACCACCATTTTGGTTTTAATTAATTTTAAATCTTGTCTAGGTTGATGTGAGAAAAAACTTACCGCAAATCTTCAAATAAAACTTTTACATACATGATTTACCTTCATCCCCATTAATTACATATCTTTAAATTTATTATTGACATTTTAAATTTCAATTTTGAAGTTGCAAAAACACTAATTATTAAATTTAAATGAACATTTTTTAAATTGCACTCTTCTTTAAAGAAAAATCACAAATCCTTCCATCTTCAGTTTCTTCACTCACAATAAATCATTAGCAAAACTAAGTCAGCTGTTATAAACCTTAGAAATATTGCTGTTCCTTATCAATACAGTCTTTTGAAATATTAAAGAAACTATATCTATAGGTACCTACTATAAAAAATTGTAAACAAATTATTTAGCATTAAAGACAGGAGACAAATCTAATATGGTTATCAAAATATCAAGAACTAAAAAATGTAATAGCAAATACAGTATATGTTGCATTGCATCTCTTATTCTACTACAGTATACAAAAATATCAACAAACAACTTAATATACAAAACAGTTCTTTTAAGACCTTCTTCCATAGACCATATTGCCTTTACATTTTCACACTTACCATTAAGTAAACATACTAACAGATATTTCATTGATTTTAAAAACAAAAGAACACTGTGTACTGCCTTTGACTATTAATACAACAACTGTACAAACTTATGTATCCAATAGTCAATGGTACTGCTTAGTTTTATGATATTTTCCTTGGTTTAATTTAATCAGTGGTGTGGCAAAACACAAATAATAAATGTATCAAATAAAGTAAATGTTAACTGAAAGCTATGTTAAGGTAAAATAAGAGTACTGCATTTTGTACTACCATTTGATAATTAAATATAGTTACACATATTTTAGAAAACAAAAATCAACGTACAATTTAGTTATTGATGATATTCTTTAGTTTAATTTAAGCATGGGTTTAGCAAAACACAATAACTTAATGTACCGTACCTAAATATTGTACATATAAAAAACAATGTGATGTGCAAGTTATGTTAAGTTAATCAAACACATGTTAAGCAGTTAGAATTTGTTTAAAGTAGCCTCCAAATTCACACAAAACATCTATACATTGTAATTTTCATACTGTTTCCACAAAAACATATCAATAACATTATTTTCATAACTTAGACGCTTTAAAAAATCCAAAGCAGAGCCAGAGTTGATACAGCAACGGTTATAGAATATTTTTTCCTATAATGATTGACATAGTTTTAGAATAAATAATCCATGATAAAAGGTTAGATTAAAATAAGCCTACCTCATTAGTTATGGAAAATATTATATTTTAATTTCTTTGAATCAGCTGTCTGAAATTGTGAAATATGCAGTTTAGCAGTTCTTTTTGTTTACATTTAAATGTCAAAGCAAATGTAAACAAACATTGTTAGAGTTATCATCGCAGCCATGGAGACCAATCAATATTTACTTTTAAAATGTTCACCTCAGAACTTTTAAAGCCAAAGGGGCAAAGCCTACGGTCATTATCGGAATGTGAATAGTCCTATAATGGTTCTTGGTATGATAGCTTTATTTTTGTAAAATTTAAGCCCAGTTGGTTCAGTAGTTTTTGCACCTATTAGTAATACACATACAGACAGACACCATTAGATTTTTATATAATAGTATAGATATAGATTGTAAAAATGAAATTAAACAAAGGGTCTTGTCCTAACAATTTCATCCACTATTAGATAGATACACACAAAGGTGATTTGCGGAGTTGTCAGAACACAACTTTTTAAGAATTTGAATGGTTTCTTCCATTTTTATTCTTAACCCTGCAGTGGTAACCCACGGTCTCTGAGACCGACGCAAAGTTCAGTCGTAGTTAACCAGTTCCCCGAAAAGTTGGGTTAACCTTACAACTAACCAAACTATATATCGAATAATCGATATATTTCGGCCAACAGAACTAAAAGCCTTGTTGAGAAAAAACTTGGGTACATTTTCACAGAGAACCTGTGATATATTATGGGATGAAAAACTATAAAGTTTAAGCCTATATAAGTAGGTAGCCTACATATATATCCGGTTCTATGATAATATTGTAGCCTATTGAATGGCTGCACTTTACTTGACGTCCTACACTCATTCGAACGAAAATATCGATCGATATATCGATTAATCGATTGCTTCATTCGATATATCGTTTGGTTAGTTAGGTAAGGTTAACCTAACCTAACTAACCAAACGATATATCGAATGAAACAATCGAATGAAAATATCGAATCGAAAAAAACAATCGAATGAGTGTAGGACGTCAAGTAAAGTGCAGCCTATTGAATAGTTATTGATCAAACAAGGTAACTAAAAAGCCTTCATATAAAGTTAAAATTGCAAATAACTTAGTTGTTAGGCCTACTGCAAGGTTGGTGATGTAAGCCTAGTTTACTTACCAATCCGTTTTCGTTGAGATGTACCATTACACTTATATCAACAAATTATAGAATAGATCCTTTAAGGTCTATTCAAGATTCCTGAGGAAGAACTGAAAAGTAATGATTTAAGCTAATGTACTTCGTAACTAAGACATAAACATTCAGTTAAAATATAAAACTACTAAATAACATAGGTGTTTTTAAAACAAGGGTAGGCCCTAACCTGTCCTTTAAAACCAAAAGCCTTAGAAAAAACTCAATTAAGTAACTGTTCCAACTTAAAACTCGATCTTGCAGTCATGGTCACGAAATAAATACTGAGTAATTAGCTTATTTGATTTGATGTTGACAAGACAACGTCTACAACAAAGTGACAATCTGATCTGACAATAACCTAAACCTAATCAAGATTGTTTCTTTCTGTTTGTTTTTGTTTTGTATTTTGTTTTCAAAGAGATTCTTAACTAAGGTTAACATTTAATTTAAACCATGCAGTTTCGCAGTTCTATTCATCAAGATTACAAAATGTATGTATGTAAATAAACGTATGTTTTCTGTTAACGTTAACATTATGATAGAGATAGATGACAAAAGATCAAGTTACTCAAACCAGCTGATATTTACCTGTCCGAAACCACATAAAACATAAGGTTAGTAAAACCATATACCGTAGACAGGCACTTTAGATTAGTAGTATTTAGTATTAGAATCTTGCTTGGGTAACGTTCCCACACTGTTGCAGTATATCCTCATCCTTTTGGATCAGCTGAAGAAAATTTTATTGTTAGCTCCATCCGGTACCCATAGGATCGTGTTTTTATGTTTTTAATATTTGTTGTTACTTATTATATCCTTTATTTACCAACCTTTATTACGCCATTTCATAGAAAAGTATTAAAAAAAGTGTCACCCGGGTGCCACTGGTCAGTGGTCACTGTTCATGAACTAGACACGAAAACGAGCTTCAAAATTAAAAATGGGATGAGAAGTCTACTTCTTTTGGTTCTATGATTAATCAACCTAGGCTGTATAATAATACCCCCGCTGCAGCAAACCTGCCGACTAAGCGAATTCCATTTGCCTGGATTGATTTTCAATTAATCTATATTTAATTAACATTTATGTTTAACGAGTAACTAGGTTAGCTGCTACAGGGATACTAATAAAGTGTGTTTTTTTTTATTAAAATATCAATAGCTTAGTATGATGAATAAATCCACCAAGTTTTATCAAAATATCTCCTTAAACAAGCCAACTACAACATTTTACAATATTCTCCATAAAAATAATATGGAAATTTTAAATTAACAATTTTTGAATTTTCTCCGTAACCATTCACCGTACAAAAACACTTAGATATACTAAATTATTAGTATTTTATGCTCTTTAAAAAGGTCTGGCGAAAAATTGATACATTTTGTTTTTTAAGGGTAAAAAAAATGAGAAAACCCCATTTTTACCTCATAAAACCCCCCATTAAGCCTCGTTCCCATCCCAAGTAGCATAACAATGTTGTTTCAATGTTGTTGTCAACATTTAATCAACATTAATTTAATATTGCCCCAATATTGATCAACGTGGTAACAATATTGTTACAACGTTTTCGTGAAACAAAATACATTGTCTTGACAATGTTGTCTTAATATTTTTCAACGTTGTTTCAATGTTGTTTTCAACATTTAAACAACATTCATTCAATATTGCCCAAATATTGATCAATGTGGTAACAATATTGTTACAACGTTTTCGTGAAACAAAATACATTGTCTTGACAATGTTGTCTTAATATTTTTCAACGTTGTTTCAATGTTGTTTTCAACATTTAAACAACATTCATTCAATATTGCCCAAATATTGATCAATGTGGTAACAATATTGTTACAACGTTTTTGTGAAACAAAATACATTGTCTCGACAATGTTGTCTTAATATTTTTCAACGTTGTTTCAATGTTATATGGAAATATTAAGCCAATATGGTCCGATCATGCTGGTTCACGAACTCATTCAAGTTTATACTGCCTTACACTTTCAAACAAAATTTGATAGCACACAAATCAAATCTATAGGGAAATTCGCTAAAATATAATTAATTGTATCAACCTAGGCTTTTCCCCCGAATTTTCAATGTGTTAAGGATATAGCTGTTATTGATATTTTTCACGGAAATAGTAGGAACACTGAAGTTTTTACATGTATTGCTGTTTTAATTTGCCTACAGAATTTAATATAAACAGTGTTAAATAATAATTAACTGTCTAAATGCATCTAAATGTCTTTCTCTAAAAACGTTCATTTACAAAATTAATTATTCTCGCCAATTTCTATATCTGGCCAGGGGGTAAAATTCCGGGGGTAAAAATCAGTGCCGCACATCTATTGTTGCCTAAAACCTAGCCTAGTTATATGGACAAGGGCAAAATCCCTCCACGTCGACTACCTTTTTGGTATAAGGCGAAACGTCCTTCCGGCTTTTATTGCTTATTATCTAATTTTTAACGGTAGGTGTATTTTAATTAGACTCCCAAATGAACGGGGGTAAAAATCCGACCCCGAAAAAACTTGAGAGCACCCAGGTTACTACGTCAGTTCTGCTCAGGAGATAAAATTCCACGGGGATAGAAGATATAATTCCGGCAACCCTTTCTAGCTACTCAGTCAGTAGTTGAGTGTTTTATTGTTTTTTAAGACACTCTTCTGCGTTTGTGCCGGTACGATGCCATAGCTTATAATGTCATAGCTTATAATTGCGAATATGTTGCATAGCTTATAATCTTGAAAATGTGGCATAGCTTATAATGGAAAATTTAAAGTGTTCCATAGCTTATAATCGTAGAAATGTGGCATAGCTTATAACGGTTTTCTTAAAATGTGGCATAACTTATAATGGCATAGCTCAAATGTGCTGCAGCTTATAAAATCTCGTTTGTTCTATAGCTTATAATTTTAAAAACGTGGCATAGCTTATAACGCGCGGGAATTACGTCATAGCGGATGGGACAGCTGATCGATCCTGAGTAGACAAAAAAATTATCGTGCAATGGTCCTCAAATTATCGTATGGACTAGCAGCCGCTACTCGGCAATAAGAAGTTGCGTTAAGTGCAGCCAACGTAGCAAAACCAAAAGTATTTCAATTTTTATTTACTCCTGGACGACATATGTAATAGATGTATATATTAAATGGTTTTTTGTTGAATAATAGAATAATTTTTTGTATCTGCTGTTTTACTTTAATTATGTAAGCTGAAATATATTATCATAAGTTTGATATTGCTCGTGTTGCTTATTTATGCTATGCATGATAACTATTGTATAGGTAATATTTATTTTGTAATATTGTGTAATACCGGTGTAAAAATACTTTTTCATAGATAAAACAGTAGACTATGCAACATAAGTAGACTTCTCATCCCATTGTTGATTTTGAAGCTTATTTTTCGTGTCTAGTTCATGTACATCGACACTGATCGCTAATGTAAACGAAATCTTGTTTCTATTATATTAGGGTAATTTTAAGATTTGTGCTTTACTGTTTGGTTATATAACTAGGAGACCAGTTATTTTTTATGATTAGATAGTTTTATTTGGTTAAATTAGGTTTTAAATAACTGAAATAACAATTAAGAAACATATTGTGAAAAAACACAACCTCTACAGTCGGGCATAGAATAGCAATAAAATTGGCTTCAGCTTTTCAACAAGAATGACAAATCTTCTAAGGGACTGTTTGATCTATGATCAAAACATATTTAGTAGATTTGTCATACTTATGGAACAGCTTAAGCCCAAATTTTAGTTTTATTTCTGTACGGTGCAATGTAGATTATAGAGGTCATGTTTTGTTTACAATTTGTTTCACTGTTTACGCCTTCATTTAGCCAAATAAAACGATCTTGTCATAATGTCATGTAGCGGTCAGTGTCACAGGACAAGAACTACAGTAGACACAAAAACCGAGATTTAAAATTTACAAATTTACAGTCAGAATTCTGTGTTTAAATTTAGAGTTATCTAGCAGGTGTTCACCTTTGAGATTAAAGTTAAATTTAACAAGCTTTCCTTCCTCTCTATGGAAAATTAGAACTGTGAGTTTTAAATAAGAAAGTGCAATAGTGAGATATGAGACCTGATTATGGTTGTAAAGTATATTTTTATAGGAGCGCGTTAAGGTGCCACCATGGCACACAAGGATAATAACGTCGATAAATCGTTGGTTAGTTTCTTTAAATGGTAATACAGGGAGCCAGAAAGTAGTATTACTCTTCATGCAATATCAGGATGACTTTACCTTGCAATTTCTTAGCTATGGACCACTCTACTGTCCCATAAATGCAATTTTTATCCACTGACAGTTTATCACTCCTCCTCTGGAATGAAATTACCTTTGGGTCTACAATTTCACGCCACCCACACAATCCGTACAATAGGTATATAAGATAGTTCAATAAGAAATAATTTAAAAATTTATGTGATAAAAGGATTTTCCTCTGATTTCGTAATGAAACGTTATATTGCAAAGCATGACATGATAAAAGAAGAAAATCAATTTTAAAATCAGAAAATAACTTGCAAATACTTACTTGGTAGAATTCAGTAGATCCCAATAAATGTGTTTTGTTTGAAATACAATTTAATAAACGGTATCAGCATTCTGACACATACTTTCTCCCATAAGTTTGTCAACAAATACATGTGTGTCGATTATCATGTGTAAGCGGTGAGAGTAAATATACGGAAATAGGATTTGTACAATTTTGTTCAGAATTTAAAGGACTATAACATACTAAATTTTTATCAAAATCGTTTGGGCCATTTTTTAGAAAATCAATTTCTTCCGTTATTTTATGGAGCTTTTATGGGAAAATAACATAATTTTCAATAACTTTTGAACCGTAATTTTTACAGAAATGGGATTTAAAAGTACCATTTTCTTCAGAATTTAAAGGGCTACAACAAACTAAATTTTCTTCATAATCGTTCGGGCCATTTTTGAGAAAATCCTATTTTTCCGGTATTTTTATCGGAAAATCTCCATTAAAAATGAAAATTTCAAAAAAATGATAAAACGCCTGGAGATACCATGGATTAGAACCTACATACCAAATGTCATCGAAATCGGACCACAGGTGTAGTCCCTAGCTCTGTACACATCCAGACACACAGACATCACTTCGAAAACCACTGTTTTGGGTCCAGGGGGACCAAAAACGAATATATCCACTCAAAACTCAAACTCAAAAATTTTGACGAAAACAATACTTTCTCCATATACTATGGTATAGGGGGAGAAAGTAAAAATGAACAGCTGTTTTATTAAAAAGTATTATTTACATGGCCAAAATGTAAACAACTCTGTGGAGGGATCTTTAAAGGCTTCTGGGACATAGTCTTACCATAGTTTTATTTTTGATA